AACTAATATAAACCCTCAAATTTTACTCATTGGTCAATTTAATATTTAAAGGAAATGATATTTGTTCTTTTGCATTAATTGTGAAAATCATTCATGTCTTTTGCATCTATTCATGAAGCATCTAGTTAGCTGTTTAATTGCAAAGTTACTTTTATAAATAAAGTCTTTCTATGTCTTGAAAAAATTCGATAGCATCAACTTAATATTAACATTGACATTAAAATTAAAAATAATATTAATCAAGTTGATTAAGCTAATAACTCTATACACACAATGCAAAAAAAAAATACCTCCCGCATCTAAATAATTAATTACCTCCCGCATCTAATAAATTAGATCGTTTGAACCGATACATCACCACCTTTTCTTTTCGTATGGCTAAGAAACAACACTTGATAGTAATAACCTAATCAATTTTATTGAGATTAGTTTGTTTCTAACGACGAAATTCCCACAAGTGATAAACATGAAAAAATATACAATTTATTCAAACTACGTGTATAAGTCTGAGAAAATACAAAATCACTAAAAATAATAGCTCAATATTTGAACCCAGAAATAATTTTAATTTCTGAGAGTCAAGCATTAAATGTTAAATAATAAAGCCATCTTCAAAGAAGTAATAGAAATCAGGTCTTTTATCTGTGAGGTAGATAAGTTTAATATTAAATGATGATGTTTCAATAGAAATTTCTATAAGAAGGCGAAATATTAGATTTAAAATACGAATATTTTATCATTAAATTATGATGCGAGTGTTAAATGTGTAAATAGTAGAAATCAGTATGTTTTATATTCAGTTTCAAATATTTGTGCTTAATTGTAGAGTAGTAACAATAATTTCTGGATTAACAACTAAATTATTTTTTTCGTTTCATCATAAACCCATTTGTTCACATAGCAGTATAAACTACTTTTGTTGATTTTATTAATTTTGTTATATGATTTGAAACATCCAATAAAAAGATTTGTAGATGCAGGCTAAAGGCAATATCTATCTGAGCATATTGCTGGCTTACACTTGTTACATTCTCATTTATGATAAATTCAAAATCATAAATCAATCATTCTCTACAATATTTTTTTTTTCAGAAAGTCCTTATTCTATCGGGTATATTTATTTAAGTGAATATTTCATTATGAATTTTATATCTCTCTGGAACAAAACCAGACAAATAGCAGTCGCCTCTAAAATCTTTAAAATACTAAAACAAATAAATTCAAAAATATTGGTCGATAAGTTTTATGGCTTATGACTCTAGCTTTAAAACTTATCGTTTAAATTTTTCTTAGAGACAACAAAAAATTTTAATATAAAAATGTTTCTTTATCCGCTTAATTCAGAGCCAAATGGTAGTTTTTAGATGTGAGGATCGCATGATATTTCAAGTTGTTATATATCTCAGAAATCAGGCTTGCAGCTTACTTTTGAAACCTATATAGCATACAATATATTAAGTTGAGTATTTGCAGACTTGTCTTATAAGCATTTTTCTGCAAGCGAAAATGTTAATGTTACAAATAATTATTAAATAAGAATCATTTGGGGAATGAATAATTCATGGATCAAGTGAAGTTTACAGCGAAAATTACAATTGTTATTTATATGTTATTGAATTCTAGGCGATTTATTTACTTAAAAGTGATTTCTTGCAAATAAAAACATCTATATATTGACGAAGCAAATATGTTGGCGACGATTACCTTTTCCATTTATAATTGTTAGACATTTTTACATTGTTAGCTTTTATCTTAGTGTGGCTTTTTAGATGACTCAACTTTATCAAGGATTGGACGACTTGTCATAGAAGAGCTTTCTTTCGACTTATAGGTTAGCCGAGTGAAGCAAGTATTTGACAAAGCTTAAATGTTTATATTGTTGTTGATATTTTACTCTAGATTAGTAGCCAACCAGTTAGCTATCTTGATATTTTCGTTAGCTTGATTTGATCAAAAGTTAACCAACTTCTCATAGACTTTTAATATCTATACGGAATAATTTATTTTAATTAATTAGAATAGCTCTCAAAGCAATTATGCTCTGATAACACTTTCTCAAGTGCTTCGCTTCTATCTTTTTCTTGGGTTCTTTTGTATTCTTGGTATTGACTCATCCTTTTAAAAAAAAAATTTTATACGCATAATGTTGACAAGAAAACCTTTTTTTTTGAAAATCATATAAATGATAATAATTTATTCTTTAAAGCAAAGTCAGTAGGAAATCTGGTTTGTTTCTTTGGTACCCTTGTTCTCACATCATCAATAATTCAAAAGTAATTCAATTGTGTGCTATCACGCAAAAATTTATCAACTCAAATACCAACTTTTCCCTTTTCTTGTAAATTTACTCACAAAATTTCTCGTGTAATCCCAACCTCTCCTCTTTTTTCAATTATTTCATTTGTACATTCACGAAATTCACAAAATCATTCTTGAACTTTAAAAACTTCTCAAATAGCTGTTTTACTATGAGTCACGTTTATTTCTCTAAAGTTCTTTTGGCAGACTTTATTTATTTTTTTATTCAATTAATTGTTTGAAATAAAAAAAAACCTGAGAATTAGTCACATATTAAAGAAAATATGCATTAATCTTGAAGACATAATTCGAATGTGCAGCAGTGAAGTAACATTAATAATAGATATAATTTAACATTAGCAAGTATTCTATGTTTAGAACAACAATACTAATAATTATTATAATTAATAACAACAATAATTAATTATCTATGGTATGTTTAATGGAAGGAAAAATCAAGATGATAAATTTTTTTTTTATCAAACTTGATGATACCTTCTCACAACGGATGCACGGAACACATAAGAGAATTTTATGCCAAAATTATTACTATATACACACAAATTGATCATTGTTTATTTTAAAATTATTTAACAAAAAAAAAAAGTGACAAAAGAATTTAAATCATCCTATTAAGGATAGGCGCACATCTTCTTAAAATCGCACCCAATCTGATCACTAAAAAGTTCTTTAAACTTGTTCCAGTCACAATACTCATTTCCACAACCCGGAATCACAAACGGTTTAAAGTTAAATACTGCTCGTATCTTTACATTATCCTTATTATTATGATCACCTGAACAAGAATATACTTCCCAATAAAGTGTAGAAGTCCAGGGTATACTTGCATATTCTGTATACCTGACTTTTTTAATTTGTTCAAAGGTTAAATCTGCCGTGAGTGGGTATTTTTCTTTAAATACTCCCTGTGATCAAAAGACAATATAGATGTTATCATCAAAGAACAGAAGATGAAATAAAAATGAAAATTTTCACATACCAGTAAAGTAAATATTGTAAGTAAAGTAAATCCATGAGAATTCTTCAAATCAGCTATCATAAGAGACTTCCCACTTATATAATCATCAACTTCATTTACAAGTTGAGTAATATAGCGACAGGCCATCCGCCTATTAAAAGGATGTCCATATTGTAATATATAATATCCATAAATATCCCAATAATATCGTAATAATAGAAGTTCTTTATGGCTTAGTAATGAACACCATGTGTCAGTTCGATTAAAATGAACAATCCAATACTGGCAATTAGTAAACATATATGGTAATAAATGTGGATCAAGAGGTGGACTAAGACCATGTTCGTTAGAAATACGGTTTGCAATTGGTGCTAGAGTCTTGTTGCCATATGTATAAAGTTGTTCGTTGAGTAATGGATTGTTCTTAGAAACGGTCTCATTCCACCGTCGGCAGGACTTGAATGGTGCTAAAACCTCATCTTGCACCTATACAATATAATATTAATACATTAATATGTGCGCTAACAAAATGATTTATAAATGGCGTAGTAAAATTTTTATACCTCTGGTACTGACGAAATGTATACAGGTTGACTTTTACAAGTGTCTAAAGAGCCTTTTCCATTAAATAATCCTTCGGAAAAGGCCATTGCCGATGCACCAGCTCTTTAAACAATATTGTATTTTATATACGTGTGTGTGTTTTTTATTAAAATAAAAAAAAAGTAGGAGTTTTAAATATGAAATTGCACCTTGAAGTACCGGTACTTTGAAATTTTACAACTTCGGGATCGTATTTAACTCCTCTCCAAAATTCTGGGTATCTTTTAAGAGACTGCTTACCATCAAAGAATGGTTCGATTTCTCCTTGTCTGTTCAATTGAAAATTTTTACTCATCGGGAAAACATTTTTATACTATATATATAAAAAGAAAGATGTTTTTTCAGTTATGATAAATTTTACTGAATATGACAAATAATGTTTATTACCCATTCTTTTGCAATAGGAACATTAGCAAATATTTTTTCCAATTTTTCATAAGCATTAATATCATCTGGGGTTGGATGTCTCGCTCCTAATAATTGTTTTAAAAAGATTATTTGATGCGGTCAAATTTGTACATGTTTGTACACGAAATAATATTTACCGTGTCTAGTGCTCAAATGTAACTGTATTAATTTACATTTATCAGGATAATTTATGGGTTTAACATGACGAGAAAAAGCAGTCCGTGCTGGTTCAAGGTAAAATAAATGGCTGTTTATAAGTTGTTCTGGAGAATGCTTGTACACGTGATGGCATTGTGTTGGATTATATGAAACAAATAAAACAAAGATAAAAATTGAATATAAAATGTGGTGTGAAAACTTCATCTTCTTTAGAATTGCAAGTTGCATTCGTTTCAAGAAAATAAAATACCTTTTTTTATATATATTACGCGAGGTCGATTATATAAGTCTAATGTATAAAAATAAATCCGTAAGTTACTAGTTTTTTTTTGCTGGCTGAATCAAATTTCTATTTGTAATTTCTTAATAAGTTCTGCTGAATGAAATTTCTATTTGTAATTTCTTGATAAGTATAAATGATTTAACGGAGATGATAATAAGATGTTGTTGGTACAGTCAAAAACTTTGTTAAATGTACAGTCAATAAATTGATCGCCTAATAGAATGATACTAATATGTGCTAATACATTATAATCATATGTGAAATTTCGCTTTGTGGAACTCTCAAAAGTGCATTTAAGTTGCATATATAGAAACTATTAAATATCAAATAAAATTTAAAAAAAAAGAAAACATATATTGTTCTCGAAAAATTTGTAAAGAGCTTTTGGCCAAACCAAAACCGACACAAGGAGCGTTAACAGCCAAGTATGATGTTACTCAAACAACGTCTTTAAAATAAGGTTAGTTGCTTTAGATCCAGAAACAACAAACTTAAATAAACAAAGAAATTCCTGAAATTGAAATATGGGGTTATTATTTGGTTCTCATATGCTGTGTAAGGAACTTTACAGTAACCAATGATATTTTTAAAAAAGGGCATTAGATTTTAGGATTTGCTTCAAATCGAACAATTGATGAACGAACAAAACGAATAATTCGAATTAATAACAAGATTGAGTTGTATTACGAATATGAATTTGTATTATGAGAATAAAGATTTTTTAATTCTTCACAAATATCTGAGTAAATTTATAGTGCTGCGAGTAGAAAATTTGAAAGCCTACGTCACGAGTAAAATGTTTAAATGTAGCAAATAAGATCTATATACCTGATAAAAATAACGATTTAATTTATTAGATTTCGAGTATATATATGCATGATTTTTAAAATTAATTCATGTGTAAATTTTAAAATAGTACATATTTGATAAATCTGAATTTCACTCTTATCAATAATATATATTTACGATTGCGTGAGATCAGTAATTAATAAATACAAAGAAGAATTGACCCGATTAAACTATTTCCATTTACTAGTGTGAATAAACAGGAATTTATACACTCATCAACAAATAAATGGTTCTTGGTTTTGAAAAAAAGCCATTCTAAGTTAATTTACTACGAAATTGATGCTCTAAAACAGTTAAAATAGGTTTAGAGTTATTGCATCGTAAAACAATAAAGTAATAATTTACAAACTAGTTTTAATAATTTTTTTTTTTAAAAAATTGTTATGAACACTCACTGAAAAGTTATTACCAGTAAAAAGCTCCACATGGATATTTACAAAATTTTACCCAAGTCCAATAGTTAATTGTAAAAGTATGTTGCTCGAGAACTCTTTATTTATTCTTGATAGAATTGCTTCACATCCTTGTCGTAAAGGAAAATGATATTCAATCAACTAAAGCAACATCATATTGCTGTCTCCGAATTTGAAGACAATGTATACTTAAAATTTTATGGTAAATACAAGAGTTCACCTATCTGTGATCTTACAAAAGGCAATTAAATGCTTGCGCAATATTTCTGGTTGTGTATATTATGTATGTTATCCATTTTCTCGATTCGTATTTTATTCTAGGATCAGCAAAATCACACAGCACAAACAGATAATGATGAAGATATTGAAAAGGCAGCAGCAGCAGAATATAAGAGCCATACCTCAGAACATGCATATATAAACAAAGAGAAGACAAAGTTGATTTGACGGGCATAACTTCAAAATTCAATATTATAGCTATCATTTTGAAAAAGACTTCCTTAATTATGTAATCACAAAGATTCACTTTTATTCGTGATTTTTCTTTCTTCGTGGAAAACTTTATAGGAATTTTTTCTTTCCTTAAATAATCACGGGTATTATTTATTTTGAAAGCATGAAAGGAACTTTTCTCACCTTAAAACACATCTAATAATGTTGTAGTTCTATTTCATATTTGTCCTATATATAATTTAGGTAAAATATGCAATAAAAGGCATCAAACATTACGGCTGTTGATATTATAATCACATTACATTAGTGACGTGAGTTTAACAAAATTTCACTTTGAAATTATTTTTTGCAAAAATAAAGTTACACCAACGTGATTTATATCTGAATTTTTTTTTTTTTTCTGCATATATTTATAATAATATATAATAAAAATGCCAATTTCAAAAAGAAGAAAAGAAAGTAAATATATTTAAATAAATAAATATATATATATATTGATAATAGTATTTTACTAATAAATGAAATTTAATTTAATAAATTTTTAAAGTAAATTTGGGAAAAGTTTCCAAACAAAATAAAGAAGGCAAAAAAGAATTGATTGAAACGGTATGAATATTATTACATCATTATTTTAACCAATCAATCGATTAACGATCGCTCTTTCGTATAATGATGTTAATGTAAAATTTTCCTTTAAATATATTATTTATTAAAGATTCAAAGCTATGTAACAAATTATAATTATATTTGGAGATTAGAACCTGAAGGCATGAGAAATTTATTTTTACAACAGATCAGAGCTGATTGGGCCCATAAAGGAAAGTAAGTAAATCAATCATTATTATTATTATGATTAGAATAAGAATAGTAATAGTAATAATATAAATAGTTATATTTTATTAAATTACATTTATTTAATTAATGATTTGATAGAATAATATTTTGTAAAAGAACACTTATGCAAAAGGCAATTGGAGTTGACAAAAGTGATGAGTTTGAATTGAATTTATCAGAGTTTTCCAAAGCAATTATTATTTTAATATATTTATATATTTGAGTGATAATTATGTGTATATATACATTCTCTAATTTCTTCACACCTCCCTTCTCTCTTTTTCACCTTCACATTCACGCATAACAGTTACTCAAAGGAGATGGTGGCCTATTATTTACTAATGAATCAGTGGAAAGTGTCGAAGATTATTTTGAAAGTTTTATTAAAAAAGATCATGCCAGATCTGGAAATATTGCCAGTGGAACAATTATAATACCTGAGGGTATAGTTCGATATAATTTTGGGAGTGCTAGTAATGATTATTCCAATGGAGGATTCCCAATACCGGTCACAATGTCAAAACAATTGGAGAAATTAGGAATGCCAGTTGTTGTAGAAAGAGAACATTTGGTGCTTAAATCTGATTATAAAGTTTGCAATATTGGTGATAAACTTAGCATCGAGCAAGCACATTTATTGGTAAATGATAACTATTTATTTTATTACTTTATCAATTAATTAGTAGATTGGCTGATAATAATGATTTTTTTTATATTAATAATATTTACATCTCATCATCATCATTGTTGTTATTATTATAGAAATTATTACAAATTACCATTTCAGAATTTAAACTTAAACTTACTCATTATTACGATAAATCAACTAAAGAAGTAAAAGTTCTTTGAGGATTTCTCTTTCCAAAAAAAAAAAACCAACCAAGTTCTATTTATTACACAAATCAAAACAAATAATCAACACTCACAATGAATCTATGTACATAGATATTATTTAAATGATTTTCTACATTATTATCATTATTCTATTTCTGATTCTTCTGGTGCAAAAAGCATTTGTATTAATTGTTAATAAAATAACAATCATTTATTAATCTGGTTAAAAAAAAATAATATATATTCTCTTGATAGGATTGGGTGCTTTTGTGCTACATACCACGTGATTAAGACATCAATCAATCCTTGATTATATAAATCAGCAAGACGTAATAATTTATTTATTTCAAAATTAATCATGATTGAAAAGGTCTGAAATTTGTCACACAAGATGATCAACATGTAATGTTATGTACATGGAAGCTTTCCAAATACTTTTCATTGGAAATTCTTCACCATCAGTTCAATTGCTTACCTTCTTTAACTCAAAGACTAATTTTACTGCATCTTGTTCACAAAGTGCTTTAGATTCAAAAACAACCACATCTGCTGTGCCATGAGGAATCCCAGTATTCCAATAGTGCTTATTTGTATGTATATCTTTTACTACATGTAAATGGTTAAGGATATCCATTCAACTTGCTGACATGCATTATAGTATGTTGCAAGCCTAATTCTTTTTTGAGTATTCATGCTGGATATTGAAAATGTCTTCTCACTATCAAAATGTCCTTTGAATCCAGTGAGTTCAGTCTTTACCTCTTCAAGTGAACTCAATATATCTCCTTTTTCTTGATAATATTAATGTATATACCATAATGAGAATCAGCATGGATATGATAATTAATTAACATCATAAATAGTGTATAAAAGCAATAATGATACTTACCTACACCAACTAAAAAAGGGTAATTCCAAAACGAATAATAATTAATAGATAATAGAAGAAAACAATTTAAAAAATTTAATTTCAAAGTATTGAAGGAAAAAAGCATAAGTTAGTCAGTGTTGTAAGCAGTATACCAAATAAATAAATGAAATGGAAAATAATTTTTGTTACCTTTTTCTTTGCCAAACTCAACTAATGTGTCTTGTAACTTCTTTACTTGCTCCCACTTATCATCTTTGTCATTCACCAACCTTTTCTTTTCTTCTTTACCCTCTTTTCTTCTGTTCTTCATTACTGAATTCTCCCTTATATAACTCTTCTTCCAACTCATTCAACTTCTCCCCTTATACCTTCCCTCTTCCCAGTTGAAAGTAAGCATTTTTTAAACGTTACTGTGAACGAAAAAAAAAAATATTGTAAATATTTATTGATTATGTTTAATGATGGTTATTAGGAGTTGTTATTTGAATTATTTTTTTACCTGAAAATAAATGAACTGTGATGCTTTTGTAACATTCCAATAGAAGGCAGGACTATTTACCTCATTTCAGTCAATGAGAAAAAAACAAAGATTTAACACAAAGCAAAATACCAATTGTTTACTATATTGATAAGGATCTTATAGTTACCCAGTAATATCTGCCCATGTTTTGAAGCACACGTAAATCTCAGAATATTACATTAAAATATTACAGTCAAACCTCGATAAGCCGAACTTTTGGAAATCACAAAAATAGGATCGGCTTATCAAAATTCGATTTACAAACAGGGCAAACCAGCCAATGGTAAAAGAGTAGAATATAATTTCGGTAAAGGGTTAAAAGCCTAATTTAGTAATAATCACCTTGACTAAACGACCATTTTTTAAACCGAATTTTATCATTATAAGACGAATTTTAAAACCAGTTTATGATCATATTCGGCTTAGAAAGTTATATTTTTATTATTTTGTACAAACCATTAAGTTCGGTTTATCAAGTAAAGTAGAAATTATAATAAAATTCGGCTTAACGAAAATAATTTTTATTAAATATGATTTGGTTAGCCAATTTTGCATCGTTATAAAGCGAAAATCGATTTATGGTAGTTCGGTTTATCGAGTTTGACTGTATTCCTTTTTTCGTGTCACTCAATAAAAAAACCAACAAATCGGAATTCATTCTTTTGTTACCCTGGTTAAAAATCCAAGGTAACTACAATATTAATATATATTTATTCTCCTTCCTTTTGGATGGCCTTGTAGTGCAGCTAATTACAGAACTAGTAAGGCATGAGTCCAGGCACTAGTACCTAGGATGACCTAATCAGAAAATCGGTTGACCCAAACAGGTTGACATAACCTGATTTATATCATGGTAAAAAATTTTAATAATTATGATAATAAGGTATATATGATTTTGATAGAAGGAAAGGAAAGAAAATTAGCGACATTGATTAACTCAAATTAAAAAAAATATATGGATATTTAAAAAGTGCAAAGTCAAACAACAAGGCAGAAAAGGCAAACAACACAAAAAATTGATTTTTTAAGCAGAGTAATGAACATTGATTGTTGCTTTACTAAATTCACAAAGATCAATGGCAACTTTTTTTCCTTTGGATATGGATTTTTAATATCATTAAGCAAAGCTAAACCGCCTAAAATCATTTAGACTGTAAATGTGATAAAGCAGCTATTAAAATATTTACAACGATAAACCAAACCTCGGAATTTCTTAACGTGACACGTGTATGGCGTCACGTATCATTGAAAAACAAGAGTATTATCATTTGGTTACTTCACAAAAGTAAAATAAATGGTTGGATAAAGCAATATACATTATTAACTTTCCATTCTGTAAATAAAATAGGAATATTAAATCATTAAATATACCAAATGCATACCTCAAAGACTTAGTTTTAAGGTTTATCTTCGATTTTTCCTATCCAACCATCATCACGACTTTAGATCGTTTTATGTGCTAGTCGATTTTGCTTTCTATTATTCTGGAAAACAGGCTGCCCTCTTTGTTCTCGTACGCCGCATTACTAGAATTCACGGGATATGCTTGATCCTAATAATATCATTGCCTTTGATAACCATCATATATCATGGAGCAGGACCTGTAAAAGTACTATATCAAAAGTTTGTCATTAGCTGCCAACATTTAGGATTAATAAAGCATACGCCAGCCGAGTATATCGTTTTTTTCATTTATTTGGTTTAATGGTAGAAATGCCGATCCTATTCCGTTGTTTTTTGGTATGTTCTTTATGTGAACACGCCCCTTCTAAACCACAACGTATCTACGCTCTCAAAGTATGTAAAAGCATTTGTTCAACCTTGTGGAATAGAGATGTCAACGCAGCAAGGAACATACGTAACAGACATCTTTATCTATATGTACAACAATAATGGTCAACATCCGGATCATTTCATATGTTTATTCTACTGAAATTAAAACAACAACGACAAAATAATTTTTAATTTTTTTTTAATTTTTAATTTTTTTAAATATAATTCTACCCGAGACTGGAGTGGGAGATTCGTTGTTGTTAGCGGTAGTTTTGAGTAGACAGCGCATGATGGTTAATAACAAGCCTCTATGAAGCTCAGTACATCACCCCAGTAACGCATATATGTTACACATATAGTCCACGAAAGTGGATATCAGTTTTGAGAAGCGTTAACAACCTATGATACAAATAAATATAAATATGTATAATAAAATATGTGACAATTTTAAATTCTGACATGAAATGTAAAAAAAAAAATAAAAAAATAAATATATAAATATATAAATATAAACAAAAATAAGAATTGATTGTCCATTTTCTATTCAATCTTTTAATTCTAGCAATAAACTTTAATAATTGTTATTTTTATTATTTTTTTGCTCTTCAACCCAACTCATGACTAGTTTTTCATGACCTTCACGTTCTTCTTTCAATTTTTCCTAATAATGTTAATAAAACGTGTTAACGTTAATAAATAAATTATGATGAAAAATCAAAAATTCTGCGTGTTTCATTATTTACATTTAATCTATTGATATTATCACGTAAATCTGTTTTTTCTTTTTCACTACTTGATATATGAGCTTCTGCCTCGGCTAATTTTTCTTTGACACTTTCTATGGCATTACTTAATCTTAAACATTTACTATCAGAATATTCTAACTACAAAATAAATAAATAAAATATGCAGAAATTAATATACAATAAACATTAATTTATAAGTTAATTAGATTTAAATAATAAAATACCTTCTCAGTTAATTGTTGTATTTTCTGCTCGTATTGTTTATTGTTCGTCAATAATTCGTCTTGATTAGTATCTTGACTGTCATTATCAGTTTCAGCAACACTCTGTAATATTCATATATTAAAAAGATAAAAAAAAATCCCCAATAAATATATCAAAGAAGATGAAGATGATAGTGTAGATGGAAGTAATTATCTAATAATTACCTCTATATTGGTGCTTGTATCATTAGATTTATCTTTAATATCTAAATTTTTCTTAGTTTCAATTTGTAAATTTTTAATTTCTTTCTCAGATATCTCCTAATCACCAAATAATAATTAGAATATTATTCAAATATATTGTATAAATGCACATATGTATGAATAAATATATTTATATATTTTCTTCACCTTTTGAATTTTCAATTCTTCCTTTAAAGATTTGATTGTTTCATTTAAATCAATCTCTTTTTCGTTTGCCTTTTGTTTTTCCAATTCCAAAGATGTGATTTTTTCATTTAAACCAATTTCTTTGTCTTTTTCCTTTGCCTTTTGTTTTTCCGATTCTTCTTTTAGATTATTATTTTCAGATTCTAAAGATATTATTTTATTAGAGTTGGCTTCCTCTACCGCCCTTTGTTTTTTCGATTCTTCCTTTAATTTATGATTTTCATCCTCCAAAGATACAATCTTTTCATTTAGATTGAATTCTTTATCTTCTATCACCCTTTGTTTTTCTGATTCCGTCACCTTTTGTTTTTCCGATTCTTCCTTTAATTTATGAATTTCAGCTTCCAAAGATGTGATTTTTTTTTTTAAACCAGTTTCTTTGTCTTCTTCGCCCATCCTTTGTTTTTCCAATTCTTCTTTTAATTTACTATTTTCAGCTTCTAAAGATGCAATTTTATTAGAATTAGCTTCTTCGTTCAACTTTTGTTTTTCCAATTCTTCCTTTAATTCATTAATTTCAGTTTCCAAAGATGTGATTTTTTTATTTAAACCAGTTTCTTTATCTTCTTCACCCATCATTTGCTTTTCCAATTCTTCTTTTAATTTACTATTTTCAGTTTCTAAAGCTGTGATTTTATTAGAATTAGCTTCTTCATTCAACTTTTGTTTTTCCAATTCTTCCTTTAATCGATTAATTTCAGACTCTAAAGGTACAATTGTATTAGAATTAGTTTCTTCATTCAATTTTTGTTTTTCCAATTCTTCCTTTAATTGATTAATTTCAGCTTCCAAAGATGTGATTTTTTCATTTAAGCTAGTCTCTTTATCTTCTTCACCCATCCTTTGTTTTTCCAATTCTTCTTTTAATTTACTGTTTTCGGCTTCTAAAGATATGATTTTATTTGAATCAACTTCTTTATCTTCTTTTACTATTTGTTTTTCAAATTCTTCCTTTAGTTTGTTATTTTCAGCTTTTAAAGATACAATCATATTAGAATTAGCTTCTTCATTCAACTTTTGTTTCTCCGATTCTTCTTTTAATTTACTAATTTCGGACTCTAAAGATGTGATAGTAATAGAATTAGCTTCATCTTTCATATTTTGTTTCTCGAGTTCTTCTTTTAATTTATTATTTTCAGTTTCTTCATTCAACTTTTGTTCTTCCAATTCTTCCTTTAATTTACTATTGTCAGCTTCTAAAGATGCGATCTTTTCATTTAAATCAACTTCTTTATCACCTTCCATCTTTTGTTTTTCCAAATCTTCTCTTAATTTATTAATTTCAGCTTCTAAAGATGTGATAGTATTAGAATTAGCTTCTTCGTCCATCTTTTGTTTTTCCAATTCTTCTTTTAATTTATTATTTTCAGCTTCTAAAGATGCAATAGTATTAGAATTAGCTTCTTCTTCCATCTTTTGTTTTTCCAATTCTTCTTTTAATTTATTATTTTCAGCTTCTAAAGATGCAATTTCAATTGAAACAGTTTCTTTATCTTCTTCATTCAACTTTTGTTTTTCCAACTTTTCCTCTAATATACCATTTTCAGATTCCAAAGATACAATCTTTTCATTTAGATCAATTTCTTTATCTTCTTGTATCGACTTTTGTTTTTCCAATTCCTCCTTTAATTTATAATTTTCATCTTCCAAAAACACAATCTTTTCATTTAGATTTGACTCTTTATCTTCTTCTTCTATCTTTTGTTTTTTCAATTCTTCCTTTAATTTATTATTTTCAGATTCCAAAGATGTGATTTTATCAGAATCACTTTCTCTGGCTTCTTCTTTCAACTCTTGATTTTCTAACTCGCTCTTCAATCTACTATTTTCAAATTCTAATGATATGATTTTTTTATTTGAATCAATTTCTTTGGCTTCTCTCACCTTTTGTTCATTTTTTAATTTACTGTTTTCAAATTCTAAAGAAATAATGAGGTTATTTGAATCGATTCCATTAGCTTCTTCTTTCTTCTTTTGTTTTTCTAATTCATCTTTTAATTCATTTATTCGACCTTTTTTTTTAAGAAAAAATATAATTATTTTTTTTATTCATTTCATAGTAGAAACTTTTTGAATTTATGAGATTAATTATAAATAATACTTTGTGCAGATTTTAATTTTATAGCCA